GGCCACGCCTACCCAGCAACTGGTTGCTAAATTTGCAGAGAACTGGTTGCTAAATTTTTGAAGCCCACTCCTAGATTGATAAGAGATCATAGAGAGGTTGAATGAATGGCAAGGCTGGCATTTAAAGTCTCATAGGGGACTAACAAGACCCCTTTTCCTCCTCCTCTTCCTCTTCCTCATTAATAGTCCTCAGATAGAAAATAATTATTAATAAACCTTTCACAGGCTGAACAATTCCCCAACTGCCTCTTAGGGATACTTCCCAGTGCATATGAAGACACAGACAAATGCAAGGTAATATGTCAAAATGGGCTTCAAATGAGGGTGATTTTGTATATGGATGTCAAAATTGAGAAGAGAGTTGACTAGAGAATGTGAGTATTGATCCCACTACCTCTTGCACTCTATCATATTAGCTAACTGCCCGGCTTCAGCCAGCCTTGACTCACTAAACCAGGGGACACCAACTTTTGGACCTCAGGGACTGCCAAACTCATAATTTTAAATCCCAGGGACCACTAATCAGTTCTGTGGGTGTGGCCTAATTTGTGGGTTTGGCTTGGTGGGCATGTGACTGGCTGGGCATGGCTTGTATGTAAATATTATAGATATTTATATAAATATTGAATTTTTTATAAAAAAGAGCAACTTTTACCCAAAATCAGGCAAAGCAGGCAAGCAGATTGAGTTGCTCACAGAATCACAGATTCATTCAGAAATCTATCTATCTGCCATTGGCTAGCTCAGTCTGTCACATAAAATTTGCTTGCAAGCAAACTCACAAAATTAACTCACAACACACCATGTATATAAATATTGAATTTTTTATTTAAAAAAAGAGCAACTTTTACCCAAAATCAGGCAAAGCAGGCAGGCAGATTGAGTTGCTCACAGAATCATTCAGTGATCTATCTATCTGCCATTGGCTTGCTCAGTCTCTCAAATTTGCTTGCCGGTGAGTCTGCACTGAATAATAGAAACTTCAGTCCTAAAGGAGGCTTAACTGTGCTTAAAAACCAAGCTGAACAACACCCTCTGGTGGTACATTTTCCTGCTTCCAAAATTGTGCGTATGAAATCCTAGCAGCTATTAAAATATGTAACATAATATATTTGTCTTTTTTATTATATTATTCTGTTATTATGCCTAATAGAAATAGTTCTGGTTTAGGTTCAATTTTCTGTTTTATTATTTCTTCTAGCCATAGTCCAATTATGTTCCAATACTTCTTGACCTCTGGGCAGGTCCACCACATATGAAAATAATTGCCTTTTTCTTTCTTACAATTCCAGCAATTTGGGCTTAGGTTAAACATTTTTGCTAGTCTAGCAGGAGATCGATTCCACCTATAAAACATTTTGTATATGTTTTCCCTGTACGCTGAAGACATAGTTAATTTATAATTTGGTCCCCACATTTTTTCCCAATGTTCCAAATCAATATTGTGGCCAATATTTTTCACCAATACCACTGTTTTCACCTGCAGAGGGTTGCAGAAAGCTGTCGCAGCTGAAAACAGAGCTCGGGAGCCCATTTTCACTGGCAGAGTGTTTGGAACACCACAGGTGTCCCCAGCACAAGTGATGTCTAGCTAGCCATGCCCCCCCGCCCCCCCCCCCCAAGGTCAAGCAAAACCCTGATACAGCTCTCAATAAAATTGAGTTTGACGACCCTGTCCTATCATATGGTGCTACAGGGGATCAGTTGGCATCCTCCTCCTTGTGACAGCCCTTCAAGGATTTAAAAAAACTTCTATTGTGTGTGTTGCATAACCTTCTGTCCTTCAGACTGAAGATATTCAGTTCTTCCAGCGATTCTTTGTAGGAGTCTGAAGTGAGGAGATAAACATCATAAGAATCTCAGCGATGTCACTTAATTGCTGTGGGGCAAGGGAACAAAATCTTGAAAGCCTGTCAGAGTTTCTCTCTTGTCCATTCAATACCAATGTTCAAGTCTTAAGCATGGATCCAGCCCTTCTATAGAATCCAAGATTTGCTGTGAACTATTGTTGCAATAGTTGCAATAGTTTTGCAATAGTATTGTTGCAATAGTTCACTCAGACCAGAGGTGGGTATTCACCAGGTTCTGACCATTTCTGGAGAACCGGTAGTGGAAATTTTGAGTAGTTCGGAGAACCGGCAAATCCCATCTCTGACTGGCACCGCCCCCATCTATTCCCTGCCTCCCGAGTCCCAGCTGATTGGCTGGGTCTTCTTTTGCTGCCCTGCATAGGAGAACGGAGCTGGAAAGCAGGTTAGTGGGGAAGGAATGGAGATTTAACAGTATGCCATGCCCACATAACTGGTAGCAAAATTTTTTGAATCCCACCACTGACTCAGATCCAGAGACTGGGAGAATGTTTGAACAATCGTTGTTTGGTAAAGTCATTCTTCAATTCTTTTTAATATCAATTCATCCATTAATATTAATCCATTGTTTGACTAGAATCGAATATCATAGGGGATGTGTGCACATTGGGGTACATTGACAAGTTATTTTTTCAGGCTTTGGTGTTCCTTCTACAAGTAATATTAGAAAATTATAAGCATTGTGTCTGGATACTATTTACCCTTCCCTACTCTCTAGTTGTCCCTTCTGGGCGGGGATGAGACCTTTGAGGAGATGATGTTTCTCTTGATAACCCCTTTGTGTGACTTCCCTTACTTGAACTGCCCATGTGGCCTGACATCTTTTCCCCCCTTGTTTAGAAAAGGTCTTAGTGTGCCATTTAATCATGAGGGAAAGCATTCAAACCCATATGAATGAAAATTTCGGGGGGGTATTTATTAGACCTGTTGATCCAGTTCGACTAACTGCTTTTCCTTAGAACATGAACAAGGAGAACTGCATGACTTTTAAAATACAGGATGGATACCCCAAATGCAAACACCCTTGTTCTAAAGCTGTATTGCCTTGCATCAGTTATGCAAACTGGGAGATTGGAAAGATGTCTGAAATCCAAAATTATAAGTTTGGTCAAGAAAATAATTGGAGAGTTATATACATGAAATGTGGACTGAGGAACTGGACTATCCCATCTGGGAAATCAATGGGTCCAAATCTTAAGAAATGTAAAATATACTTCTTATGATTTAAGTACAAAATTCATTCATAAGAAAATATTATTTGATGTTTATTGGTGGGATTCAAATTTTTTTACTACCGGTTCTGTGGGCGTGGCTTGGTGGGCATGGCGTGTCTTGGTGGGCATGGCAGGGGAAGGATACTGCAAAATCCCATTCCCTCCCCACCCCACTAACCTGCTTTCCAGCTCCATTCTCCTATGCAACAAAAGAAGACCCAGCCAATCAGCTGGGACTCAGGAGGCAGAGAATAGATGGGGGCGGGGTCAGTCAGAGGTGGCATTTGCCAGTTCTCTGAACTACTCAAAATTTCTGCTACCGGTTCTCCAGAACTGGTCAGAACCTGCTGAATGCCACCTCTGATTGGACTCTTCCAGGAATGTGTTTAAAAAGATAGATATGATATTTCTTTTTAATGTTCACATTCTAGCAGATATGAGGACTCTTCTTACATAGTCTTGTCCAGCCATAGCTCAATTTTAATTTCAAGTTATAGCATCTGTTATACAATTCTGAATGGAGGAGGGGAGATAACATTAACGTGATTAGATTTTTTTTTTCATGTTATGAAGAGCATTGACTTCATTAAACTAGGAGTTAAGCAAAGAGAATTTCTTTTCTTTTTGTGACTCTGTAATCCCTTACTTCAGGGTGGGATCAGGGCAACTGAGTAGAGCTGAGACTTTACTAACTGGATGCCCTTCCAGGATGCCACACAGAGTTTTTGCAGCAAATATTTTCTCTTTGCGGCCTGATAGAGAAACATCTGTCATTGCCTAGGATTGAACACTCAACCTTCTGAATGGGAGGTGAGTGTCTTTACCACTAGGCCACTATACCACTCAGAGCTCAGCAAAGAGAATAATAAATAAACAAGAAAATAAAAAGAAATTATCTTCCTGGTGTTATGGGATGGATTCAAGACGTACGCATTCTCAATTGTTGACAACTTTAGTTTTTCAGTGAGACTCAGTTTATTTCTATATAGATTGAATGGTAAATTTAAAGATAAATCTCTCTCTCTGTGTAAAAAGAAGGAGGCAATTCCAAACACTTTAAAAATGTTGGTGATTTATCAGGAAGTTGTTGGAATCAACATTGAAGATACAGACTTGTGCACACTCACACATACCTTCTGATAAACCTACATGGGATTACAACCTACATGTTATTTTTTAAAAAAACCAAAGCTCTTCATAGCTCTTCTGTGAGATAGGTGGCCATACAAATTTGATTAATAAATAAAGTAATAAACTTAATACCAACAATGAAGAATATTTGTAGCTCAGGGTCGAAACAAGGGTACACTCTGAGCTTGGTTGTTTTCTTGTAGTTCTCCAAACTAGGTAACATCATCACTGCACTGATGTTTGGGTAATGAAACATCTGCCAGAAAACAATCAAACTCAGAGAGCACTAAGGACCCCTCATACAATCAATAATTTCTTCCCTCATAGCTAATTTTAACAATTTTGGGCAGTGAGATGATCCTACAAACAGACCAGATCTCTCTATGCTCTTTGCATGTTCAGAACATACCTGAAAAAATGTAGTGTTCAATATCTTAGTTACCCTTTTACTTTGCTGTTATCTTCTTGAGAATCCTTTTTATTTTATCAAGATGATAGGTCCCTGTTCTGAGAGATTTACAATACACAATTTGCTAGGGAGGGAATGAGAGACTTTGGAGATGGAAGAAAAGTTAAGCATTAAGTGAAAACTGATCCATGTTTATTTCTGTGGCACATGAAGAGTACATAGAGCATGGGTCCCAAAACCTTGGTCGATGGAACCAGTCCCTGGTGCCCAAAGGATTGGGGGCCACTGACCTAGAACATGCTTTGCTGAGTACATAGAATCCATGATTATTCACCTTTAATCTCTTACGTTTGCTCTTACCATCTACTTGAATAGAAGGGATGATCTTCAGGCAATGGTTGGATTTTTAACACTTGCCTGGATTAAATCAACATGTATAAATATGAAACATTCATTTTTATTTATACTAGCCAAGGCTGTCAGTACTTCCAGTTTACCAAGGCAAACATTTATTAAGTAACAAACAAACAACAAATGTTGTAGTCCACTGAGGGCTGGCCAAGTCTTCTCATATAGATATGAAAAAGCAAAAACAAACCAACAAGGATAGTGTCTGCTTGATAAACCATCATTCAGAGCTCCTGAGTTAAAATTTCACAGAGTAGGTCCAAGACACCTTCCTGAAAGATTACCGGAGGGAGGAAAACTCAGTTCTACAAATGCTCAACACATTTCAGTTGGCTAATTTTACACTATATCTTAAATCATTAATGAATTAATGGGTTCACACAAGAAAATGCACCACACAAAATTTTCTTGATAACAGTAGAATCAACATTAAGATAGTGAGGGAGTGAAATTGCCAGGTTTTCAAATTTATTCTCTTTAGCCATGAGAAGTGAACTGAGTATGTGGGGGACTGGAGTCTTGGTCCTAAGGGTTGCTTCAGGATGAGAAGAGTATAGCCTTCCACTATTGTTGCCATCGTTGTTGTTTTAATTTATACATTAGCATGTAAGCCACCAACCAAGTGCCAAGCTGAGGCCAGTAAAGAGAGTGAGGCTGGGCTGGCTGATCATTCCCCCATTGCATAAGTCAGTAGTACAGCAAGTGCGATTGTAAGTCATGTCAAAAACGTCATCCCTCTGTTCGGTCCTGTTGCAGAGTTCAGTCATTTTGCTGCAGTCATGTTTCGTGAAAAGCTCTAGTCTGCCTGGTGGGAGAAGAAGTGAGAAAAATAAATATTAGAAGTTAGGACCTGTTATGCCCCTGGTGGAGACTGACTCTGAGGGAGAGGAGGAACAGCTACAGGGAGTGGAAGTATGGCTCCGGAGGTTGTGGTGGAGGCTGGGGAAGGGCAAAGGCCAGCTGGGCAGTCAGAGGAGGACCCAGGCCCATCCCCTCTCCATCCTAGGGCATGCAGGGAGGAGAGGATAAGGGAGAGACATGGTCTACTTGGGAGGAGGGGGCCTTGATCCTCTTCATGGGCTGCAGCTGTGACAACTGAATAAGAGGACGGACCTGCGTACGGGCGAGCGCTGGAAACAAAGCATGGAAATATCTCTAATTTATGGTTCCTCTCTGAGTTTGGCGTCCTTCCCAGTGTGTGTTCTGTTATCTGTGGACGTCCTCCAACCCTTATCTTGCCTGGTTTGTGTTGTTTTTTTCCTCTTTCTTGTAACTGTTTGTGTGGTAGTTTTTTTGTCTTCAGTTAAGGATATTTGGGGCTTGGAAGCAAAGTGAAGGAATAAAAGGGGCTTCCCCGGTTTTTTGTGACTTTTTTTTTTTGTATCCCACTCTGGGCCATCACAGGACCTTTGCTCCATCTTGGGGAAGCTATATGAGAAGACATTTTGAAAACTGAAGTTTATGAGACCTGCTTTACTTACAGGTAGTTTTACCAGATGGCACCCTCTTGCATGATCTTAACTGGATTCAAAAACTAACCTAGGTTTTGTCTGGTTACAGTTCAGATGTTATAGTATCAAAGAATCCCAAGGGTGTAGGCCAGGAGTGTCAAACTTGCATTGTCATAGTCGCATCATGTCACATATTGTGACTTCTTTCCCCTTTGCTAAACCAAATGTGAGCGTAGCCAGCACCTGACGCATCTGGCCCATGGACTGGGAGTTTGACCCCCTTGGAGTAGGCAATTCCAGGAAGGTGAAAAGTATCCTCAAAGAATGTCTATGTCAACCTTGAAGCTGGCCTGACCAAAGCCATTTTGTCCACTTCAGTGTTGCCACACTGGAGCTGAGGGACAAGGAAGGGGGGATTTTAGATAGAAGGAATTTTGTTGCCAAAGCAAAATACTTTCTCTTGGGACCCAAGGACATTCTCACACCTGGTCGGAAGAAGGCAGAGTGATGCAACCCGGTTGTTGGACTGCACGGTGATTGGACCACGATGTGGCTGATTGTTTTTGAGAAAGTAGAAAATCTTTACTTTTAATAAGGTGAAAACCGTGGGAGTTTTCAGAGTCAGTTTTCACCAGATATGTGCCAATATGATATTTCCAATAAATGGATTCTGTGAGGGATTCAATTGTCTCAGAGTTTTGCTTGCAATGGATTTATTACTTGGAACCTTGACAGTCTATGGAGATTCTCAATCCTCCAGGTCATGGTTGTCCCAAGGGTGCTTTTTAAAAAGGCAATTGGAGTTTATTTGTTTTTTCTTTCTTCAAGAAAAAACAGAATCCAGTTGCCTTTTGCAAAAGCATTTTGGGACATCCTCAAAGAAAGCAATGACAGATCGCTTTCATACTGTTGACAAGATAACGACATCCTTGTGCCCAGGTAGCCATCAAGAACTGAATCTTCTTCACTTTATTTATATATGTCTATCATTTTATTTCCACTCTAGTCTCAATGTAGTCGGTTGAGGAACTGGAGTACTGAGATATTTCAAGTATTTCTAAAACAGGGATGGGCAATAGACAAGTTGTAGGTTACTATAAGCCCAAACCAAGGTGGTAATACAAGAAGGTTTTTTAAGAGAATCTGGAAGCTCCTATTTAACCCCCAAAATTTTGAATACTGTTTATACAAAGGAAATGAAATATAGTCTTGTTTTATATAAAACTACAAATGTAAATATATGCATTTAAGTTAACTTCCAGCTTTACTTCCAGTTGTCCCAGTTTATGTTCTTCACACCAGATTTGTCTTTCGAACATTGTTGATGCTCTTCCTCTAATTTTGCCCAAGGCATAAGCCATGGAATTCTGCTCTAGAATAATATTTGATCCCTTGCTCGTATTTCTGATGAAAAGATGAGAAATCATTAGCAGCCTCCAGTCTTCTTCAGATCTTCTTCAACCAGGATGGCAACGATGAGTATTGTCCTCAGTACAGTTTTCATGTGATCAGTGTGGCTTACTTTCTTTTTAGGCAAGGAACACTTGATAAAAGTAGTCTGGTCCGACAATAGATTTCATCATTTTTTTTAAACAAACAAACAAACAAACAAACACATTTTCCTCTTGCCTATCTATGTATGGGTGATATGGTCACTTAATTTGTAACATCATCCTATCCACTAAGACTTTTGACTCCTACAAAGAAGTTGAAAATGTCCCCCAGAAGCCCATAATAAAATATGAGTTATTTAGGTCTTGAAGTTTCTTGATGGGTCCCAAAACATATACCTCTCTCTCCTTCCCTCCCTCCCTCCCTCCCTCCACCCCTCCCTCCACCCCTCACCTCTCACTCTCTGTGTTTCAAATTGTGTGTCTTAGTGGACAACCGGATAAATATGAGCCAGCAGTATGCAGTGGCAGCCAAAAAAGCCAATGCAATCCTAAATTGCATTAACAGAGGGATACAATCAAGACCAAGTGAGGTACTAAAACTACTCTATAAAGCCTTAGTAAGACCACACCTAGAGTACTGCATCCAGTTTTGGTCACTACATTATAAAAAAGAAGCTCTAGAAAAAGTGCAGAGAAGAGCAACCAGGATGATTCAGGGACTGGAGACCAAAACATACGATGAACAGTTGCAGGAACTGGGCATGGCTAGTCTAGTGAAGAGAAGGAACAGGGGAGATATGATAGCAGTCTTCCAATATTTGTGGGGCTGCCACAGAGAGGAAGGGGTCAAGCTATTTTCCAAAGCACCTGAAGGCCAGATTTCCTATGTGCAGCAGCCATGGTGAGTAGAGCACGTGAAGTGTGGAAATCAGCTGGGCTGCATGGATGGGGCGAGCAAGACAGATTCATAGGACAGGATAGCACCAGGGCAGGTGGGAAGGCCCAGTCAGTGGTTGGAACTACTGGTACAGGAGAGCCGGTCCAAACCTGTAGCAGCCCATCATTGCCTATGAGGTCCCTTCCAACTCTGTTAATCTGCATCTGTAAATTGTACCTGTATAAACTTTGGTTGTTTCACACTGCTGGCCTTCGTTCGTTCGACAGGGATCATCAGAACGAATGCAAACACGGCCGACTTTAAACTTGCAAACATTGCATATTAGACCTTGAGCTGCAAAGAGAGACACCAAGAGAGAGAAATTAGTCCACTTCGAACAGAGAAGTGGGAACAGCTGGGTAGTTGTCCTAATTGTATCTTTTCTTTTATGTACAGTGAGAGCATTTGCACCAAGACAAATTCCTTGTGTGTCCAATCACACTTGGCCAATAAAGTATTCTATTCTACTCTATTGTAATTGCCAGATGTCTATGAGTGTTCTGGCTCCCACCTACTGATCTATAGTGGTACTGCTTAATACAGTTACCAGGCATACGGCTCTACACCTATCCAGCAGGCATGGCCTTAAAATCAAATACAGGTACTTGACTTACAGCCACAATTGGAACCAGAATTTCTGTTGCTAAGCAAGGCAGTTGTTAAGTGAATCATGCCCGACTTGATGGCTTTTTTTGCCATGGTTTTTAAGCAAATCATTGCAGCTGTTAAATGAGTCCCATGGCTGCTAAGTGAACTCAGCTTCTCCCATTGACTGATGCTGCAACCTTCATAAATGCACGTTGGCTATTCAAAGCCTGAGTTTTGATCATGTGACTTTGGAAATGCTGAAATGATTGAGGAATGAGTGAGGATTGGTTGTAAGTCACTTATTTCAGTGCTGGTGTAATTTGGAACAGTTGATAAATGAATGGTTGTAAACCAAGGACCATCTATATTGTCTGACTTTTGAATATGTTCCTCGGCAGCTTTTCTCCATTGGGAAGTTAATGGCTAATAATAATTATTGCTGATTGCAAGTTAAAAGCACAATTTTGTGACCTTAATTAATTGATTGTACCCTTCATTGCTTGAAATTTACAAGACTTTAAGACTTTAATTGATTGGAAGCTCTTAACCTGCTCTAGCACATTCTTGCTATTGAAAAACCTCCTCTTCCTCCTCCTCCTCCTCCTCCTCCTCCTCCTCCTCCTCCTCCTCCTCCTCCTCCTCCTCCTCCTCCTCCTCCTCCTCCTTCCCTTTCTCAACTGCAATATTTGCTTGGTGTACATTGGGATAAAGCAACATGAATCCCCTTGAATGCATAGAGGGTGGAATAAACCTATGAAAACCCTGAAGTTTTCTAAGAATTGAGATGTATTTATTTATGTATTTATTAGATTTGTATGGTCTTAGAACACAACTTTGGGTACCTCACTGAATAAAGGCATACAGGTAGTCCTGCATTTATAACTGTAATTGAGCCCTCAATTATGGTTGTTCATCATGATAGTCGTCAAGCAAATCATCATGTGACCACACCCAATTTTATGAACTTTTTTTTGTGGTGGTTATTAATAGCAATAGCACTTAACTTACATACCACATAGAATAGAATAGAATTCATTATTGGCCAAGTGTGATTGGACACACAAAGAATTTGTCTTTGTGCAAATGCTCTCAGTGTACATAAAGATACATTTGTCAAGAGTCAAGAATCATAAGGTACAACACTTAATAATAGTCATAGGGCACAATAAGCAATCAAATCATACTAGGAATATATATCATCCAGGTGGTAAGTAGTTTTTTTCAGGGTCCATTGTAGTTTCAAATGGTCATAACTCTTCAGTCAGGGACTACCTGTGGTACCACTACCCAAATGATGACAGGTTCTCCTTAAATCTTAATCATGTGAAAACATCTCACTGAGCATCCTGTGGAATAAGCTTATTTCCATATAAGCAGAAGTATCTGGAGTTACAGAATAGCCATGCCTCAGAGAAACCTGACCACATTTTTAACATTTCAATCTTTAAATAGCCCTAAATACAAAAAAAAGGGGGGGGGGGAAGAGGAGGGGGATATGATTTTTTTTCTTCTTCTAGCAGAGCTGGGGGGCTGCACACAGTTCGTGAATTTCCACCCTGAAATGAGATGTACGTTGGGGTTATTTAAAGTGTAATAATTTGATTTCCATTAGAATTGCAAGGCATGGGAAGTTTGATTTTCCCCTCCCCAACTGTGATCTCAGTTTTGAGAAATTGGATATATTTTGGAGGTTCAAGGGAAGGAAAAACAGCGATCAATATCAATCATACCAGGGGAAACTTGGAGCGTGATTTCAGCTAAAGAAAATGAAATGTAAAACTGTCCTTTCTATGGTCTACAGCCGTGATGGCGAACCTATGGCACACGGGCCAGAAGTAGCACGCAGAGCCATTACTCCTGGCACGCAAGCCCTCACCCAGATCAGGTCTACTGCACATGCATGCATGCCACCCACCTAACAGCTGATTTTTGGGTATCTGGCATGTATACGCGGGGTGCATGGATGCGCAGGAGATGCGTGAGCATGCACAGAGACACACAGCACACTTGGGGGGTCACACATGCATGCACAGGGGGCATGGGGGGACCCACGTGCATTGCCTTCTGGGTGCTGGCATGTGAGCGTGCACACACAAGCATCCACGCAATTATCAGCACAAGAGCCCAAAAGGGTTAGCCACCACTGGTCTACAGTTCTAATGCAAATCAATGATACTCTTATTATTATTATTATTATTATCAGGGGTGGGATACGACAGGGTTAACTACCGGTTCGGTCATTTACGAGGTTCGGTGATTTACAATGTGCTTCCCTGCACTCTGCCGGCACGCGCCTGTAAATCGTCATCAGCATGCTGCATGCAGAGAAGCAGCCTTTGAAACAGCCCTCTTTTCCTGCTTTTTTAACTGCAGCTGTGCCTCGCATGGCAGCTGAAGTTGAAAAAGCAGGAAATAAAGGTCAGGTAAGAGCCCGGGTGGGCGGATGGGCAAAAACATCAGCAGACATAGAACCGGTTCTATGTCTGCTGCTCTTCAGAGCTACCGGTTCTACAGAGGTGGACAGAACCGGTAGAAACCCACCCCTGATTATAATTCCTGTTGTTACTCCATTACAAGCTCATATATTAGATCCAGCACCACAGGCGTGGTACAGATCCTGCTCTTGCTGTAAAATGGACCTTTTCTGCCTTGGCACCTGCCATCTGAAATATAATTCCCTCAAAAGATTCCCACCCTCCTAGATTTCCCATCTGGGAGATCTCTTAAAACCTGGCCCTTTCAATAAGATCTCAGGGAAGTAGGATGCCCTCAAGGGGAAGGCTTTTGGTCCATTCTCCCACAGCCTTTTTTTAATAGCTGTGTTTTAATTAATCTTAATTATGTTTATTTGATTGTTGTGCATCCAGAGTGTGTGAGGTAGGTGGCTATATAAAATCAATCAGTGGTGCACTTCATATCAAATTTTCAACAATCCACATTTCTTGAGTGCCTGTCATGGATAGTCATAGTAATTCAGGCCATATCAATATTTTATTTTATATGAGCCGTGGTGAGCACAGTAACTAGAATGCATGCAGTATTGGCAGGCTAACTCACCGCTCACTGCAAGGAGTTCGATCCTGACTAGCTCAAGGTTGACTCAGCCTTCCATCCTTCCGAGGTCAGTAAAATGAAGACCCAGATTGTTTGGGGCAAAAGGCTGACTCTGTAAACTGCTTAGATATGCCTTAAAACAACTATCAAGCAGTATATAAATCTAAGTTCCATTGCTATTATTTATCTTACTAAACATATTTATATAGTCACCTAACTCACACATGGTGATGCCAGACCTAATACTACATTACATTAAATTCAGTTAATAGCAATAGCACTTAGACTTATATACTGCTTCACAGTGCTTTACAGCCCCTCTCTAAGCAGTTTACGGAGTCAACCTATTGCCCCCAATAATTGGGTCCTCATTTTACTGACCTTGGAAGGATAGAAAGTTGAGTCCACCTCAAGCCTGTTCAGGATCGAACTCTAGGCTGTGGGCAGAGTTTGCCTGCAATACTGCATTCCAATGGCTATGCCACCTTAAAAATTGACACTTGTTTTTTTATTAAGAAATAATGTGCATGAAGTTATGACGCATTTGTTTTGTTCCTCTTTTGCACATGATTTGACCCAGAGTAATAAATGCCAACAGCCTATAATATAGATCAGCCTCACCTCTAAGTATTACTTTCACACATGTGAAATCCCTGCATTAATCTTGAAAAGGCTGGCATGTGAATCATGCTGGGAGCAGCATAAGGTGGAAAGAAGAGAAAGTTGGAATGGAGCCCAGAACTCAGATAGAGTTTGGCCAGTTGGAAAAAAAACAACAACCCTGAAATAATTTCTGGGAATGTCAAAGGCGTGGTTCCTTCAGAAGCGTCCTTCACTTCCCATGAAGGGAAGATTAAGTTATTAAAATCCAGCAAGAAAAATAAGTGGCTGTCCTTTCTCCACCCAAGTTGTTTTTGGGAGCGGTTATTTTCTATCATGTTGTGGTGGTACATGAGAGAGTCTTAAGCTTGCCGAATACAAGATGAAACTAGATGTAAAGATGTACAAGATGTACAAGATGTAAAGTGAAAAATCAGGTACATTGATTGAGTCATCCCTGCTTTCCATCACAGTTCACCATGGTGTGGTTCCCAGCAAAATTGTTGTAATATATGGTCACATGGCCACAGGAGCTGTAAATGGCTGTAAATCCAGCCATACTACTAAGTTCCCAAAGTTTAGTCATGTGACTTCAGGGCAGGGTGACCATAGAAACTCTGAATCTGGGTCATAGGAAGCCCCAAGGTAGGTCCATCATAACTATGAAAAGTTGCCAACAAGTTGAAATGCATATTTTACCTTCTCTCTAAATTTACATAATTTTCTTTGTTTCATTGTTTACACATTCCAATAATCAAATCTGTAAATTACAATATCATTTTTCCTTTTCCCCCCAAGAATAAGTCCATAAGAAACTGGACTTAGTTTTCACCTATTCATAGATCCATGGTAATTTTGAAAAGGAGAAGGACAGCTAGTAGCAAACTCCATTTATTGCTTCTTTCTGCATCGCAACCAATATCCCAAAGCGCCTTTTTTTTCAAGAGGCAGCTGGACTTTCTGGTTTTTCTTTGAAGACGTTTTGCTTCTCATCTAAGAAGCTTCCTCAGCTCTGACTGGATGGTGGGGAATGGAAGGATTTATATTCCTTGCAAGCAGCTGGTCATTTGCATTCTTTTGAAGAGTCATTGGCCTCAAGAAGTATAAATCCACCCATTCCCCACCATCCAGTCAGAGCTGAGGAAGCTTCTTGGATGAGAAGCAAACTGTCTTCAAAGAAAAAATCCAGTTGCCTCCTGAAAAAAAAAGCTCCTTTGGGACAGCCATGACTTGGATGACTGAGAATCTCTACAGACTTTTAGCTATACAATTTGGGATGAACACCCTTTGAATGGTGTGGGAGCCAGAATGGATTTCCAGAGGGAAAATTGCAGACTACAGGAACCAATAGCACTACTCAGGTGACCCCGAGGACAGAGATAAACCTCCAAGTGGCCTCAACAATCCTCTAAAAGGATTGAAATGACCAGATGTCTGCAAAGAGTATAAATCCTTCCATTCCCAAAATCCTGTCAGAGCTGAAGAAGCTTCTTGGATGAGAAGCGAAATGTCTTAAAAAGAAAAAAAACCAAGGAAGTCCAGTTGCCTCCTGAAAAATCACCTTTGGGACAACCAAATCTATCTACAGAATTAGCATGTTTGTCTAAGGGACCTGGAATTAATTCCTTGTTTTGGGTTATTTCACTCATATTTGTTTATGCCATGTCATGATAAACTAAAGCTGTAACTGTATATGGTGAGATTTACTTCACAATAAGCCTACACTGCAAAGTATAGCTCAATTCTTCTGCAATTTTTATTTATTTATTTATTTGTTCGTTCATTCATTCATTCTACTAGGCTTATACGCAGGGGTGGGATTCAATTTTTTTAACAACCAGTTCTGTGGGTGTGGCTTAGGTGGTGGGCATGGCTTGCTGGTCATGTGACTGGGTGGACATGGCTTAATGGTCATATTATTGGCTGGGTGTGGCCAACCCAATATCACTCACATTGAGGCACGCATCTCCTCGCCTGGCCTCTCATGACTGTGGGGATGCTGCAACAGTCATAAGTGTGAAAAATGGTCATAAGTCACTTTTTTCAGTGCCATTATAACTTTGAATGGTCACTCCACACAAACAAAGTACCAGCAAAGGAGGGGAAAAAAACTCCAGAGATGTTCCTGAGACAGGAAGTCTAGTCCTGCCAAGAATGTAATAAGGGTTAACGGAGAAGCAGTTTCTGTAAGCAACACCAGAATGTTTCCTTCCTGCCTTCCTTACAGGATTAGGCCAGTAATTTCTTCTAACAACCGGTTCTCCGAACTGCTTAGAATGTTAACAACCGGTTCTAGCGAATAGGTGTGAACCTGTAGAATCCCACCACAGCTTATACGCCACTCCAATCATTCACCAACTTTGAGTGTCTTATAATCAGGGGTATAAGCTGGGGATTTGCAGGGGTTCGGGAGAGCTCCTAGCTAAGATTCTGTGCAATTCGGAGAACCCTCAAATCCCACTTCTGGGTGGCCCCACCCATCCCGCCCACACGGAGTCCCCACATGGCCCATTTTGGATGCAGGTAAGTTCAGGGCATGCGCGGAGGCTCGGAGAGGGTGAAAAACGGGCCTCCTGGAAGATTGGAAGGGCTGGAAATGGGCCCGTTTCTGGCTTCCAGGGAGCCTCTGGAGCTTGGGGAGGCTGTTTTTGCCATCTTGGAGGCTCGAGGAAAGCCTCCAGAGCCTGGGGAGGGCAAACCCCCCCCCATTGTGGTGCAGGAGGCTGACTAGGCCACGCCCACCATGGCCATGCCCATCCAGCAACTGGGCAGAGAACCCATTGCTAACATTTTTGAAGCCCACCCCTGCTTATAATTCTACTATGGATTAACAGGATTCAAATAACTAAAAACCAGAATAACAATAAACAACACAATCGACCAAGGTAACACAACATTAGCAAACTATGGATCCATAAAACCCCATATAATCATATACCCATAAACAATTCTTCTCTCACTCAACAGCCTGATGGCATGAGCAGATTTTGCTTTCCTAAATAATCTCCATAAATTAATCCACATGCATAAACTGCTTACTATTTCTAGATTTTTTTTAAAAAAAGGAAAAATTATGTGACTGCTTGATTTGTGCATAAGGCATCCAATGCCAACATTTTTTCTAAGATAAAAATGAAGAGAAATAAAAATATAGGTGCTCAAGCAGGATTGGTTGTACTTAGTTGTTGGATGGGAAATTAGGAAAACCCCAGGCTATATTACTAGGTTGAACTGTGAAAGACTTTCAAGAGGCGGGGGGAAATCCCTTTCACATTTTTGCCAAGAAAGACATATCTATATAAATCATCAGAAATTGAATTTAACCCTGGGGACTTTTTATCTTTACCACTGAAGCATCACACCAATCTTTCTTCCCTTCCACTAATGGTCTGATTCAATCTAAAATATTGTGGAATCCCACCAATGGTAACTACATTAATTTACTCGATGCTATTACCATCCAATTCAAACAGGCTATCTTTTCATTGGATTTATCTAACAAAATTGGTGCACAGGAACCCTACAGAGAAGACAGTGTTTTGCAGATTGCCATGCAGAAAGAATATGGATTGATTTTGCAAATCTGAGTCCATCACAGCCTGAAACTAATGTCAGATACATTCAGCTGGGGCAGATAAAATACAGATAAAGTAAAGTATTAGAAACCATTCCCCCCCCCCCCCAATAGTGAAATACTTAATACTTACAGGAATAAGCCATCTGATTGCTTCCAGCTGTTTTGGATTGCAATTCCTAGAAGATCAGATCATCTGGGAGCTGTAGTCCAGAACAGCTGGTGCATTACAGATTGTCCAGTCCTTTTCTCTAGGCAAACTTCTCTAGCAGAATATTTCACTTTCTCCTTTTCTTCTACTTTTTTTTTGGGTGGGTGGGGGGTTTGAACTTGGCACTTACCAACTGTGCAGAAGATCAGAACAGAAAAACCAAGGAGAAGATACTTGTTCATCTTGATTAAATTTCACGCAAGAGGAGGTGAGAAATGTTCCAGTGAAAATGGCAAAGAGCCAAAGAACAACTTTCCAACTCAGACCTGCAACTCTTTCAAGCAGCTTTTGACATGGGCAGGGTTGAAAGGAAGCATTTATTTTCATGAAGGCTTTGAGGAATAGCCAATTGAATAACTGGCGGAGGATTGACACACCTCAATTTTGGGGAATTGCAAAACAGCAACCTAATCCCATATATAAATGACATTCCACAAAACTTGGGGCAACTTTCATCAATGAGGATTTCTTATTTTCATTACAGGATGCTGGCAAGAGGGGCACTGTAGTTTAACTTATTTGTAGAGCTCCAGGTCAAGAAGAAATCTATTGCACTGACTGATTGACTGATTACTGACTCATTACCAATTACTCTTCTTGTTCTGTTCAAAATTATTTTAAATCTTCATGCATCCGGGATCCAGAATAATTCCTGAATTGTCTTCCCTGTCCACATATTTGCTTATGTCCCCAAAACCAAAAACTTTGTAAGAGTACTTCTTGTCGCTGGAAGTTTCAACAATGGTCATAAAACAACATGGTCTTTTGCGTTATACATTTTAGAAACTTTCCACTATACATTCTAGAATCTTGAATAGCTTTACAGAAACAGCCTTTCTAGGTACCCCCGTGGTTGTTCTTTGATGGCTGGGAAAAGGGAACTGCAGCCTATCAGCCAACACACTCAACAACAAAACTGCACAATATTTTTCTAGATCAGGGGTCTTCAAACTTGACAGCTTTAAGACTTGTGGACTTCAACTCCCAGAATTCCTCCTTCAGTCATGTTAGCTTAGGAATTCTGGGAGTTGAAGTCCTCAAGTCTTAAACTTGCCAAGTTTGAAGACCCCTTTTCTAGACCCTGCAACATTGAGTGATCTGCTGTTCCTATTGTAATTTTGAGTCTGGCCAGAAAAAATATATTAAACACCAGAAATAATCATAGTAACTGTATTCACATAAGCTAATTTTCAATGTAATCAAATTATATGTTCTTTTTCTCATCCCACACCATCTTATTGTTCTGGCCCCACCTACCTTCTCCTTCACATTTTAATATGTATTTTCCTTTGCCCTTTCCAACTGATCTATAAACCACAATGCAATTTCTCTCTCATCCCCATCCTTCCCAGTTTTGCAGTGTAACATTTCTACAGTCCAACCACATGGACAAAAAGATATCAAAGGAAAGGGCACACAAAATTTCCTACATCTGGACTTCCGGTTTGTAGGGCTTCGGCAGCGGCAGGAATCCGCGGTCGTTCATGGTTTCTGCTTGTGCTCGCTGCTGGAGTGCCCCGAGCCAGCCGGCTTTGGGGCTATAGTTATCCCGTAGAGGTGACTGAAGATAGGGGAGACCCGGCAGGGGTCGAGGGGAGTCGCATCCCCCCTCCTCAGCTGGCTTAACTCCCTTTTCTGAAAGCGGTAAGAGCGGCGGTCAGAAATGGCCGCCACAAAGAAGCACTCATCCAGAAAAGTATGTGCAGGAGGAAGCTGAGAAGTGAAAGTTTTGGTTGACCGGGATGAGAAGCAACATTCAAGATATCCTGGAATTTAAATTTTGGCAAAGGATACATCGCTTCCAAAGAAGATCTGGAAGCAGCGAATGAAAGTGAAAAGGGAAAGTTTTTTTTTTTCACTCTCCTTCCTTATGGTGACAGCAGATGAATGAGAAATTGGAAAAACCTGCTTTGGCATCAGCAGGTAATTAAACTGGAAAATTAAAGCCAAGGGGACAATAAAGATTTCTGAACACTGAAAAAACTTTTTCTTTGCTGTAAGTGGGAAGGGAGAGGAAAAGAATTAAGATTAAGATTTGGCTGGAGGAGACTTCTTCAAATTTAAAAGACTAGAGTTAAATTGTAACAAGACTTCTAAAAGATACATTTTAATTGGAACTTTGTAACTGAATTGCAACCCCAGGAAGAGAAAGTGAAAAAAGGAAAAAAGTGTTAAATGAAACAGCCTGTGTGTATTTGGACTGCTTGCTGTCTTTGGGACTTTTGGAAATTATTATTTGAATAATTAAAAACATTTGGGTTGTTTTAAAAATTTTCTACAATGGCATTACTTGTGCATGACCTGAAAATGGAATTTAAAAAATATAAAGAAGAGGAACAAGAAGGGAAAGGCTCTTTTGGCTCCGTTTTTCATTTTTTAGAAATGGCGATTTCTACCTATGAGAAACTACAAGAACAAGAAGATTGGGATGAAGAAGAAGCCAACTTTAATGAACAAGCAACTTTATCTGGAGAAGAAAGGGGAAAGGGGGGAAAGAGAATGGAGAATTCAAGACTTAAAAAAATAACCAAAAAAGGGAAAAATAAGGTGAAAAGTGGATACAATGTCAGAAAGCAACAGAAAAGAGGAATACAGAAGAGGGTGGAGATCAAGAGACAAGGGGGTAAAAAGGGTAGAGTGGAGAAGCAAGGGAGGAAGGAAGGGAAGAGAAGCTACAAAGGTTTGAAACAAGATGTAAAGAAACAGGATTTATTTAGAGATAATGGGTAAAAATATAACTGAAAAAGAGATTCTGCAAAGGTACATAAAATTGTATTGTTGTATTTGTATTAGAAATACTGTTAGAAAATTGGAACAACATATGATTATAAAATGGGATAAAATATTCAATGTAATTCAGTGAAATTTTCTTATTTTTTGAACAAAATAAATGAAATGAAATATGAGAGAATTGAACTAAGAAGGAATGGGAACATCTCAATTACATAATGTGTTAAAATATAAGTGAAATGGGGTGGAAGTAACTATGTAAAATTTATAAGTGTTCCCATAGAAGCATGATACCTATTTGAGAAGGAATGTGTAAAATGCTCAAGACTTAAATGAATATTAATTTTAATGATAGAGTTTAATTGGTATGGATTGTTGTTTTAATTATATTATATATTTATAATTTTTTCCTATTTTAAAATATAGTGTGTAGCTTTAGAATGTACTAAGCAGAATCCGAATGAAAAATTATGTATTATTTTAAGTGTTAAATTTAGGGGAAAGATATAAAGGCGTCACACTCCAATCAGTGATTACAGGAGAAATTTTGTGTTAATGAGAAAAGATAATAGACAGCTGAAACAGGACAGACAAAGGATATAAGTATAATGATTTAAATTGAGATGAAATAAATAAAATAGAATTAAGAGAGTGAAAAGAGGGGAGAAGCTATATAGAAAATGTAGAATGGTAAATAAGATATGGAATGGTATATAAAAGTGAGCAGGAACTTGAATTTATGTCTGTACAAAAAGATGTAACCCGGGATCAAGCTGCTTTCCAAAAAGATGTTTTATGTTTTTATGTTTTGTGTTTTGTTTGTATATGTTTGTTTTTTAAAAATTAATAAAATTCTTGGGGAAAAAAATTGCCTACATCTATGAAAATAACATTTCGCCAACAGAAGCCTTCAGGAAAGGCCTCTACAGCCGTGAAACGAGCTCCAGATTGTGTGCACTGCCCCTCGCCCTCCGTTTCACTGTCGGAGACCTTCGGAAAGGCTTCTGATGTTGAAATGGAGGCCAGGGGGGCACCACACAAATCAATGCGCAGCTGCAGAGGCCTTTCCTGAAGGCTTCTGACCATGAAAGCCTCTGACCATGGGGAGGGTGACGCGCGCAAGCCAGATATGATAGTCAGCAGGTTCTTACTAGTTTGGAGAACCAGCAAATACCACCTTTAACTGGAGATTTTAGTTTCCTTCCCCTGCCACGCCCACCAAGAATTTGTATCTAGTACTATAAATGTATAGACAGATAAACAGACAGATTTTATGGCTTAAATTGCCCTTTCTGCTTCTCTTAAGTTGACATTCCGGTGTTTTTAATCAATCTGTACTATGCAATTATCTTATGAGTGTGATTGTTTACTGAATTAACATTACTAAATTTTATCTGTTTTGTTTTATGTACCTGAGGAATTAGTTTAATGATATTGAGAAATACCTTAAATAAATAACCACACTTCCTAACATGGGGTGGGGTGAATTTCAATGCCATTTAGATGCTTAGAATGGCATGTTGTCCACATATCAAGGTGCCCAGCTACCAAGTAAGTGAGTACAGGAGTGTCAACTTGTTGTGGTAGGCCAAGTCAGGAAAGAGACAGAGTGAATTATGTTTCAGGAATTCAGGAATAATTTTTAGTGAAACTTGAAAGCCTTTCAGAGTATCCCTTTGCCACCACTTACACCAAGCAGAATCAAGATGGAGTTAGCTTGAGTTTCTTTCTCACATTTTCTTCTTTCCAAGAACTATTTACATAATACATTTACATATTAATTCTTTTATTCCCCCTTCAAGGTTATCTCCATACTCTTCCACTGGGGGAATGCAGAGTGACATATGGTGGAATTTAGCTGATGGACTTCTGTGTTTATTACCTCTATTTCTCAGCAGGAGTCTGAAATATCACTACACTAAAGTTCAAACATTTACTTATTTATTATCTTGGCTTCATTATTATTATTTTTATACAGATGCGGAACTTAGCAGCTTAAAGATGCTGGATTTGTCAGCCAGAGAAGATTGGCTCTCTGTATTCCAGCAGTTCGAGCCCTAGTACCACATGATGGAGTGAGCTTCCATTCTTGACTTCACCTCCTTCCAAGCTAGCGGTTCAATGCAAGTAGATAAATAGGTATCACTTTGATCGAAAGATAAGAACAATCCATGCAGAAGAGACCAACCAGCACTGGACCTGCCCGAATGTAAGGTGAAATCGGTGGTGAAAGGCCATGGATAACACTGATACTTCCAGAACATTGTTAACCATTCTGTGTGTGGAGCTAATTCTCCTCCAGTGATGCACCCAGTGATAGCACATGAGCACGAACCAAATCAGGGGTGTCAAACTGGATGTCTTTGAGGGCTGGATCAGCATTGTAGTTCTCCTCTGTGGGCCGCCCGGGGGAGGGGTTAGATGGGATAGGCACTTTCTGCAGCACCCTGCTGCCCCCCCCGCATCTGGTTTTGATTGGCAGGGTACTGCAGGAGGCCATCCAGGCTGAAAACAGGGTGTGTGTGTGATTCCCTTGTGCCCAGTTTTGTCTGGCAGA